CTTTCTTCTTTCTTTCCTTTCTTTCTTCTTTCTTTCCTTTCTTTCTTCTTTCTTTCCTTTCTTTCTTCTTTCTTTCCTTTCTTTCTTCTTTCTTTCCTTTCTTTCTTCTTTCTTTCCTTTCTTTCTTCTTTCTTTCCTTTCTTTCTTCTTTCTTTCCTTTCTTTCTTCTTTCTTTCCTTTCTTTCTTCTTTCTTTCCTTTCTTTCTTCTTTCTTTCCTTTCTTTCTTCTTTCTTTCCTTTCTTTCTTCTTTCTTTCCTTTCTTTCTTCTTTCTTTCCTTTCTTTCTTCTTTCTTTCCTTTCTTTCTTCTTTTTCTTCACTTTTTCTTGTCTTATCATTTTTTTAATAATATAATTATTTATATTCTATTTTGTTTTTATATATTTATTTTTATATATTTATTTATAATTACTTATTATAATATTTATTATATTATTATTATTGTGGGCAGCAGGCATATCTTTGTGTCTTGTTTTTTTGCAGCCAATGAAGTAATAAAAGAGTTTCATAATGCAAAGACATGTGAGTGTAGAAGTGTGCTGTAGCTTCATGGTCACTGTGGATGCCATATATAATTACTGCCACAAACTAACACACCCTTTAGCACAAAACCAGAGGAGGATCCAGGGTGGATGGATGCGTTTTAATGTTTGCACACACGGGGGCAGAGTTAAACTTGTTTGTGGCCACTGCTTTTGCATTTCTTCAGTCTTAACTCAGCAGATTGAACAGGATTCCTTAGATTTTGTAATAATGAGAAGTTGGAAATCTCTCTTCCTCTGCCTCTTTACTAAAAAAGGATAAGAAGAAAAAAAAATAAAGATGGCTTACGTTTGTAATAAATAAATAGACTTGAAAATTATCTGGTAGGGACTCAAAAGATACAAATCTCTGTTTAAAGAGGAAATTGCAAGAGATAACTGCAAGCCAGTTCTCACTAACATACCAGTTTTCTAAATTGACTGATCCTTAAACTCAAGACATAGAAAAGAATTCCATTTTCCCTGCTGTCTGGTGCTCTGAAATGTGAGTTGGTCTCCAACCAGAGGTGTTCCAAAACTCACACTTTTAAGCATTGTTATGCACGTGGACGGAAAATCAAGTCTGTTTTCTCCCTCCTATTAACAAGGCACTTACCTTCATCATTTGTGTCCGAGGAGAAGCAGAAAGACTATCTAAAATTTAATATGGTTGGATTTACTACAACTGGGAGCACTCTCCTGTGCTCAACAGCTCCAGCTTTTGCCTGCAGCTGTCTGTGGGGTCTGTGGCCATGTGCAGCTAGTAGGGGGCAGGGTGTGCTGTACAGATTTGGGTTGTTAACTGCACATTTGTGGCCAGAAGCCACAATTTCCATTGGGAAATTTGCCATGGATCCAATAGTGTGGAAAGGAGCCATTTGGTAAAATGTTTGCCAGCTCTTTGTTCAGCCAGTGTAGTACCAAATTCTGTCTGACCTATGCTGTATGTTGGCCCTGGTGTGCTTGGAATGGCTGGATGTTGAGATTTCAGCACTGTTTTTCTGTGCCTCATCCCCAGGGATCCCCTGTGTTCCCCCTGCAGCTCCCAGGGCAGCAGTGCTGGTGCCTCAGGAAAAACGGGGAGAAAAAATTCCTCAGGATCTGCATCCCAGGGTTGACCTGGCCATGCTGGCCTCTGGGGGCAAACCAAGAACAGTAAGAACTGACCTTTTCCTTCTTCCCAAGGACATACCCCACTCTAGTGTAAACCAGTGAGCTCAAGAGGTGCTGGGATATCATGCAAAGCTGAGAGAGTAGCTGCTAAAAATGGCCTTTTTTAAATACTTTTTCTCACTATATGTCACCCTCTGGATTAAGATGGGCCTCCCAAAAGGAGTAATCACAGTCTGATGTTTCCACAGCACTGGGCACACAAGAAACCTGAAACAATATATTTTGGGTTCTGAGAAAAACCCAGGCAATTGCTTTCTGAAGCTGGAGTAACTATTACTGTTACAAGTAGAGGAAAGGGGAAAATCTGGGGAATGTCAAGTTGAAACTACCCTGAAGAGGAACCTTTTAACTGAGCAGAACTGCAGGAAGCTACAGTTTTTGAAAACTACATCAAATGGGGTGGTGGTTTGGTGATAAAGAGAAGTGTAACTTGCCAACAAATGGGTACCTGGGGGTAAACAGGACAGGAAGAGAGAGTTAATGAAACTGTCAGGCAGTGGGGAGCAGACCCCTGGAGGCAGTGGAGGAGGTGTTGACAGCAGACAAGGGCAAAACAAGGCATGTTCATGATATTCCCAAAGAATAATATAGTTGTATTTTCTTCTGAGTCTTGTCTACATGAAAATCTTGCACTGTTTCATTATGCTGATGCAAATGCCTTTTTTGGACACATATCAGTTGAAGTATGTTGTGTATTGATTTAGCTTAAATCCCTTCCTTACCACTTCAGTTAAAACAGTAGAAACGATTCCAGTAAAATAACATCCATCCTCCCAAAGACTTCACATTAATTTAACAGCGTCAGTTTTTGAACTGGTTTAATTAAACTGCAACTTCCTTGCACAGGCCAGGACTGGTTGCTGTGGAAGCAGAAACATGTCAGTGTCTTTTGTGTCTTTTCTTTAACTTCTAAAAAGAAACCTTCTGATCACAGACTGGAGAGGTGGATTAATGTGGGACTGGCAAATACTTTGCTTGATTTTCTCTAGGTCAAGCCCTGTAAAAAGAGGAAGTACCAAAGCATCAACAAAGACCAAACCTTCTCAGTTGTTTCTGTGGGAGAATGGGCTTTGTAATGAGGGGAGAGGCAACTTCAATTAAGTAGGAAGAACACCATGGCCAGCATCCAAACCCATCTCATCTATAAATGGAAAATTTGCCCATCCCAGACCTACATTCCTGTCCAGTTCTGTTGGTAGGCATGGTTATCACAGGAATGGGATTTTCCTTTCTTGTATATGCAGACTGTAGGTTTTCCAAAGCTCATCACTTTAGAGAACAGTTGACTATTTTTCTTGCCAGGTGGAGGCTCTTATTCTCACGGAAAAATATTTTCATGCTTCCTTTCAAGTTTCAGCAGTAAGCCACGTCTGGTTTTTACAAGGAAAGGGATGCTTTGAATGTCTTAAGAGTAGAGGAAGAGATAAGTTTTCCCTTTTAAAAAAACACAAAGGTTTTGAAAAGTGTTGGAAATATTTGCCTCGTGTTTGAAAAACAAAACAAAATGAAGCACACAGTAAAACCAATGAGTTCATCTTGATTAGGAGCAACATGAAAAATAGCACTGTGGAATCTGTACAGTTGGAGCTGAATAGAAATTGCTTTATAACCTGAACTCGTACACAACAGGGTAGCCAGATTGTTTTAGCTGACTGAGTTACTCAGGTTTTGTAAATAGGAGAGCAGAACCTCATGTGGTGTTTCTCCCGTCACATGGCAGGACCCGTGGGCAACAGGAACGTTTAGTGGGGATGTGGAAGGTCCAGTGATTCCCACAGAAGCTCGGCTCATTGTCC